TAACTCTTTGTTGAATTGAATAGTTTGGAGGTTTAAGTGGTTTTATACATAGCTTTTTAACGGAAGTGTTTGCAATGGTTCGGTCGCACGTGTCTTCACTGGGCGGCAATGCTATGACATCGTTTCATATCACACAACTGTTATTGCTTTATAATCCGCATAAAAATCAAGTAATAATTGAATAATTATGTGCTGTTTTAATGTTAACACTAATTGTGTATTGAATTATAGGCCCAATGCCTGGTGAATGTGGCCGGAGATGCAGTGATTGTCCACTACGACAGTAAAGAGAAGACCCGAACTAATAACACAGCCGATGAACCGGTGGCCAGTAGTTTGGCTTAATTTTATGGAAATATACTTTTATAGGAATGATAGAAAGGAATGCATTTTACGAAACATACAGTATTTAAATCATGTGTAAAAGTAAATGGTTTACAAATTATAGTATTAATTGATATTATTATTAGTGAAGTCATGCACTCTTTGCTGAAAATTCAATATCAAAGTTACAAAACTTAATATTAATACCGATAATACTGTAGTATTAGCTAAAGGTGTCTATAATTGTACTGTACTTTTAATGTGCATATAATTTATAAGTTAAATATTTTGTAAATCAATTTATTGAAAGCAATCCTTTTTGTACTTTATTTTTCATTAAAGAATTATTTGCATAAAATATTTATTATAAAAACAACGAATTGAACAATAAATTGAAAACTTGTTGTTTTGCACTCAAATCAATTGTTTCTCAGAAAGGTGACTGTATAATGCAAAGTGGTCAGGTCAACACAACATGGTCAATAGGGTTAAAGTTCAATACTTGCCTGTACTGTACAGTTATGTCCCAACTTTATAGCAGTTATAAAGTTGTAAAGTGAGTGTTGAATAGGGATGAAAATTTCAATCAAATGTTTAGTTAAACATTTCAATGAGCAAAATGTTGTGAAAATTTGGCAAATTAACAACTAGATACTATTTACAATATGAAATTTTAAATATTAAACAAAAAAGTTTCATTTCTCACAATATTTGCAAATCTATGTTAATTTGAAATTCAAATTTTGAATATAGAGACCAATTGTGGGCAATATTTCACTAGTTGTCAACTATTTTGCTTAAAACCAAATGTTCAAAATTAAATGCCAATTACTTGTGTTATATTCACACCACTAGTAAAGTGTTGTGCTTTGAATAGAAATTATATTTAACTACAAAAATATGAATTAATTCAATCAAAATTTATGACACATATCAGGTTGTTCAGAAATTAATGTTCATTTCGGCCATAACTCAAAAACCAATCAAGATAGTCATGACAGTCATGACTTTTATCAAACGAGAAAAAAGTTTTCCTATTTAAATAACTTTTTTGAACAATTTTTTTGTCAGTTTTTTTCAAAATAAACACTAAATATTAATCAATCCTGATAAATTTTTGGTGAGATGTGGACATGGACTGGTGCTATTATAATCTGAAGACAGATTCAAATTATCTTAATTAGTTTTTGAGTTATGGCCGAAATGAACATTAATTTCTGAACAACCTATTATAAATTGTTCAAAAAAGTTATTTAAATAGGAAAACTTTTTTCTCGTTTGATAAAAGTCATGACTGTCATGACTATCTTGATTAGTTTTTGAGTTATGGCCGAAATGAACATTAATTTCTGAACAACCTATTATTAAGTGAATGGGTCTAAAGTTTGAGCAAAAAAGTGGCAAAACTTTCAACACTAGTTTCAACACTACTGACATCTCCTTACTATGGATACAGCGATAGAGCACTCAATCATTGATTCAATGCATTCAAAGCAATGCATTCATAGTCTCTATGAATAGTCTCTCTAATAGTCAACACAAAACACAAAGCGTTTTGCGCTTTAATAGAGATTAT